ACCGACTAACAGGCGAGTATAAATGGTACATGTATACCGAAATAGATCATTCTTTGTTCAAAATTGCAGTGGAGACAGACTGAGATCTTTCTAGTTAGGAATAGAATTAACAACTTTTGAATAATATAAGAAGGTATTGTTATTCCAAACATAAAGTACAATGCTTTGATACTAGTATGCTTGGACTTTTGGTGTTTAAGGCATGGCATTTTTGGCGATACATAATTAGATGTTAAATCGTTATACTAGCTCATCTTACTCTATACATATGAAGTAGCACAAATGCAAGGAAAGAAAGAAACACAGAAGTCTTTCTGTTTGCTGTCTAGTTGGCAAAAATAAGTACGAGTTAGAGTTTTTATTGCAATAACATTTATTTAACTTTCATTTTTTATCTTTATAAAAAAAACATTACTTTGATTTGAAATAGTTACTTTAAACCCTGGATAGCACATGCAATTCAGATGATAAAAAGAAACGTAAGTTGCATATAAAGCAAGTATGTGGCAAAATTTTCCAAGTTAAGGGGAGGGTCTCCGAAAATGGATAATACAAAATTTCTTTAACTTAAATAGGATTCTTCTCTGGTTTCTGACTAGATGAAATATTCAAGGTATATTTGCTGATATGTCATACATGTATATTTAGATGTAAGAGGTTAAAAAGACCATATTTTTTTCCTCATCACAATTATGCAACTTGAAATAGAAATGGTAAACTGCGTTTGAAAACTAGCAGGGACTATATTTTTGGCGGAATGGTGGCGAATGAAAAGATCTTCTTTTCTGCCTTTCAGAATTATCATAGAACATCGAATTTAGTTATATTTTTTACGCAATCAAAGACTAGACGAAATTTTTAAATGTAAGTTAAATTAATAATAAGGGACTAAAGTTAAAAATATATCAAATAAATAAGATTTTTCATACATACTAGAAATATGTTTGCTTTTAAATGCTTCAAATTCAAGTACAGATTTTAGCCAAAAGTCCGTAAAAGGTGTTATCTTAGTAAACAATTAAAACTATTAGTGTTTGTATCATTTTGTGCCTTTATGTGCCAACTTTACTATATGTGAAAATTAGAAAAAAAAATTAAATATAGGAAGCATATAAAAACAACTAATAAATCCTTAAAAGTTAAGAAAAAAAGGATATTCGGAATAGCAAATATCCATTTTATTTAAATTACCCACGGTACTTTGATAATATCATCTGATAGGCCCTATATGGAAGTATCTTTTTATGCAAAAATAAAAAAAAAATCTTTAAAACTACAAGTAGGGATCACATTATTGGAAACAATAATTTTTAGCTCTATTGGTCAGAGACTAGAAGAGCTTATACGATAGTAATGCGTCCGTCCATCTATCTGTCTAGCTGTCCGTCTGTCTGTAAACATTTTTTTAAACGCTGCTCCTCCTACAGTTTTGGTCTGATTTTAATATAACTTGGCACACAAGTAGACTACACTAAGATACATAAAAAAATGCAATGGTTTTTGCTTTCGATGCACGGTGTTGTCATGGTTACTAAAAATAGAATTTTCTGTGAAATTTCTTTTAAATGCTATTCCTCCTACAGTTTTGATCTGATTTCAATATAACTTGGCACACATGTAGACTACACTAAGATAAATAAAATGATGCATCAGTTTTTGATTTCGATGAACGGTGTTGCAATGGTTATTAAAAGTAGAATTTTCTGTGAAATTCCTTTAAAACACTTTATGTCCTACAATTTTTGTCTGATTTCAATATAACTTGGCACACAAATAGACTACACTAAGATACATAGGATATATCATCGGTTTTTGATTTCGATGAACTGTTTTGCCAAGGTTGCTAAAATAGAATTTTCTGTGAAATTCCTTTCAAACACTACATATCCTACAATTTTTGTCCGATTTCAATATAACTTGGCACACAAGTAGACTACACTAAGATACATAAAAAATGCATCGGTTTTTGATTTTGATGAATAAGGTTGCCATTATTAGGAAAAATAGAAATGTCTGTGAAATTCCTTTAAAACGCTAATCCTTCTACAGTTTTAGTCTTATGGCAATGGCTTCTTTTCTCATCCTTTGTTATAAGTACAAACCAGTAGAGCTACAGTCTTGACAGAGACTTTTGGTTTAATGTTAAGGTCAGACGACACGTTCCTCAATAATATTTAATTTTTCTTAAGAGATTGTCATTGAAGAATAGGTACTTAAACAAGATTCCTCGCAAAAAATAAGGGTACCTTACCAGCCATTTGGACAAGATACCAAAGATTTATATTCTTTAAATAACCCTTATGGGTAATCTTCGGAACGGCCTATCTCACCATTTTTTGGTGTACCTATATTTAAAAAATATTTTGAAAACAATGTAGAATTCAGAAAAGAATGCCAAATATGAATATTTTTTATCTTATTCCAAGATATAACAAAACATATTATGAAGGAACGTGTCGTCTGACCTTAATAAAAAAGGTAATGATATTGACCTGACTTTGCCTCAAATATTAAACGGTCAAATTTATTCTAACTGATACCATCACTTAGAAACATTGTCCTCTTGGTTCTGTGAACATATCATTAATTTTTAAATACAAGAAATGTGAGAAGAATCCTACTTTAACCAAGATAAAATATTGATTAATGTAATTAACCCTACCCCACCCCATCCCAACGCTTACAAACATACTTTATCTCATCACTTCTCCTTACTTTGAAAATTTCCATTAAACTACAGCGTAGTTTGATCGGCTTTTTGTTTTATTTTGATGAGAAAGTCGGTGATGTTACATTGGACAACAAATCGAAATTTAGAGATTTTTTCTCACGGCTGGCGTTAAAAAAAGAAAATATCCTTGAAAATGTACTACAGTAACTATAGTTTACTTTAGTTAGCTATATTACCAAAGTAAACATTTAGAAACTTGAATTTACTATTAATAGTGAAAACTTTAGAACTTTGATTTGCAATAGTAAAATCTTTGAACCTTTGATTTACTACAGTTAAAACTTTGGAATTTAATTAACAATAGTTATGACTTTGAAAAGTTGAAGTAATTATGATTTGATTCCTATTTTTAATATTTCATTATATTTCAAGGTTAAGATTAGGAAAATGGTTCCAACATTTTTTTGAGCAGGACCATTTCTCTAAAAGAATAATGTACAATGAATGAATACTAGTACATGCATTAATAGAGAGGGTCTCTCTTGTATCGAAAAAAGAAATATTCATTTAAATCTATTTCATTTTAATATTAGTCAGATGTTAACATATATCGTAAGAAAAAAATATATCTCTGTGGAGACTGTAGCTCTACTCGTTTGTACTTACTTATAATAAAGGAAGAAAAAAGTAGCAATTGGGGCTTAAAACTTTACAAAAGCAATATATAGAATGACAGTCCTTAATTAAGTCTATTTTTGTGGCAAGATTGCAATACAACTACAACTGTAGTAATAGCTTTCAATTAAATTTTACAGAATTTTCAATTTTAGTTATCATGGCAACATCAATCAACAAAATCAAAAACACGAAACTGATAATAGTGTATGCCAGTATCGTCTACCTGCATGCTAAATTATATTACATCTGACTAAAACTGTAAGAACATTAACTTTTTGAAATGATTTCACAGAAATTTCTATTTTAGTAACCACGGCAACACCGTTGATCGAAATTTAAAAAAAACCCATATCTTTAAGTATAGTCTACATGTGTGCCAAGTTATTTTGAAATCAGACAAAAAAATGTTGGATAAGTAGCATTTTATTAATTTATTTCTATATTTAGTAACTAAGACTACACCGTTCATAGAAATCAAAAATCGATACAGAAATTAGGTATCTAAGTGTAGTCTACTTGTGTGCCAAGTTATATTGAAATCATACCAAAACTGCAGGAGAAGTAGCATTTTGAAAAATTGTTTACAGACAGACGGACAGACAGACAGGCAAATATACTATAAAATAAAGTATGCGTCATTTAGAATTAAAAAAGAAAAATCAGCTTCATCAACTTCATTCGACATGTTTTTTTTTTATAATCTGATAATTATATACATGTACTAGTTTTCAAAATTGATTATAAGATAATCATGCCAAGGTAATGTATTCAAGTAAAACTGATAACAAATAAATTATAGGATGAATGAACATTTTTCTCAAAATAATATATTATTCAATGTATTACAATCATTTGTATTATTTATGTTTTATAAATTGTCAATATTGATGTCTCTCTTTTTCGAAATTTGGAGAAACGAAGCAGATTAAGAATACAATTATAGTGAAAATCATCAATTTTTTTCTCGATACGTGTATCTGAAACGTTAACGATGACATGTGTTAAGCTGTATCAAATCTAAAATACAAAGTTTGGAATATTTGAATTTATTCTATATACCTTAGGTTGAGTATTAAAATCATTGTATCAAATTAAAAGGAATTTAATTGTTTGTTTGCCTCTGTATTTTCAATAAAAATGGTTCTTTTAAAAGGATTTGAATATCATTTTATTTATCCCTTTGTTAACATCTCCAGCTATCTGACTATCTGTCTCTTAAACATCTGGGGCTTAAAGACGTTCCCTTGACTAGATAGACAACACAATAAAACTTCAATAATTACCATTTATATAGCACAAGGGCATATATAAATATTTTGACAAATAATATCTCATTGTCGAGGAAAGGTGGAAGGGTGTTTCTCTTAGATAAAACAAGCGATTTCTAAATTTTATATCATTAAGGGTTGCACCTACAACGCTTAATGATACACTAGTGTATCATTAAGCGTCGAATATGTCGATATTTGCTTGTTTCATTAAGCGTCGGTGTTGCACTGCATTTGTGACGCTTAATGATATAATTCTGTCATTAAGCGGCGATTTAGCATTAGCAGTTGATGATGTCAGCTATTAATGCAATAATTTATGGCATTAAGCGTTGCAATTGCAACGCTTAATGCTATTTGTATCATTAGGCGGCGTTTTATCATTAGAGGTTGCTACACTGCATACAGTCCTGATCATGGTCATCATTAGGCTGCCCAGGCATCCAGTCATTGTATCCTATAGGGTCAAACCCTGGCATCCACCTCCACCCACCCTCACTGATGGCATCAGTCGCTCCAACCCAAAAATCAGCTACAAAATGTAAGAATTGGTCTTCGCAAGACATGCAAACATTTTTAGCTTTCAGCGATAGCATTCCAAAATATTTTTAGAAATGTAATTGTATTTCTTGCTGTAATTGCATTTCTTCTTTCAGCATGCTAAATATTAACCAATTTCGTGCTTCCATCATGTTAGTTTGCCTTTTTAATCTTGAAAAAAGTTTTTAATAAAGTAATAAAACCTGTATTTCCATGTAAATTCAGTTGTTTTTTAAGAAATTGGTTTTCAGATTCATCGTTAATATTGGTGAGATATGAGCTCAGGTTTCTACAAAAGTCCTGTAAAAGAAACGAAAGAGGATATTGGGTACTTTTCGCTTAATTGCTTACGGCTAACTGAATTATTTCAAATGGATTGAAGAGTATAAGTAAGGTAAGGTAAACTTCAAAATGTCTAATGAAATTGTAAAATTGTCCATCGCATGTTTAACATATATATCTTGAATATTCTTTTTTTTTCTCAAATTCATTTTTTTAAAATACGATTTTCTGCCAGAAGTAGGGGTCAAAAAACGATTTCTCTTCAAAATAGTTTCGTAATGCACAGAATTTAAAGGACCGTTAAGGAGATTGACTCATTTTTTGATATAGTTATTCTGAAATGTAGGCATAATGTAAAAGGTAGAGATAACGAGCAGTAGAAGTTAAATGAATGTATATACCTCAGCAGCAGTCCATTCCTTTCCTTGTTGATAAAACAAATAACAGCTTGCTTCGTATGGGAACCATCCTTCTGGACATTCACAATGAACTTCTGAAAAACATTGCGATGACGGGATAATTCTTTTATCAATTCTTTTACTATTGAGCTTTCATTTATAGGTGACCGGCAAAAAAAATCTCACCTGTCGTAAGAAATACAGCCAGTATTGTTAAGATAAGAAATCGGTTTCCCTCCATTGATATGTATGTCATGTTTATGTAACGTTATCATTACATCAGCAGACAAGTTCATATACATTAGGAAATTCTAAAAATTAACCCCAACTCTTTAGATAAGAGGCAATGGATTCACAGTTTGTGTCAATTTATTGCGTACCTATTTTTACAATAATGATAGAAATACATTACTTAGTGAATATAGCATTGCCCTCCAGAAGAAGGATATGGAGATAACGAACAGTATTCAATTTCAAAGTCCATAAAACAATAAAACAAAATAGGAGCAGAGCAAACGCTGACCTCTGAAACATTAAATGTGGGATCAGGTGCCATGGAGGCGTGAGCTTCCCTTGCTGACCGGTCACAACCGCCGTGTGCTCCTTGTATAGATGGGGAAATAACGGGAAAATCCGTCGTCAATTCAGTGTATAAATAATGGACTAACAATTAGTATAAGAAACGTCAGTCAGCATTTGTCTCAATGATAAATTGTATTTGCTGATAAGGTCATTGAATCGACCCTAGAATTTACGAAATTATGACTTTAAATGAGACTGTTGATATTCTTGTTTCGTCAACTTTCTTGTTAAAAATTAACCTCGTCTTAGAAATTGTTCATACGTAGAGCATGCTCTTGCGTATCGAATCAGCTGTGATATATAGATTTCGTATGCAGGTAATGAAGGTATATTGCTGCATAAGTAAGGGTAGTTGACGATAGAAAAACTAAAGTCATTACATTTATCGTAATGGTTGTTAGATTACCATTAACGTCTTTTTTCAAGTAAAATATCCAAGTATGAAACAGATTCGTCAGACTCTGTGGAATTACACAATTTCGGAAGAACTACATACTGTAATGTTCATTTTATCTAAATGTATATGTATATACTTAATTTTGTTTAAACATTTCATGTGTTTTAATATCTCTTTCATAGAACCCCATCCCAATATCTTAACCATAGACAATGGGTCTATAAAATTTAGAATACAGGAAGAGGGTTTAATGTTTAATTTAATATGGCCACGCAAAAGATTTAAGGCTAAGTATAGACGTTTTTATGCAAATGAGCAAATAAAATGCAAGAGATATAGAAAAGGCTAGGTGAGCGTCTCCGAGAAAACCATTGAAAGAAGGATATGGAAATAAAGAACAGTATTCAATATCAAAGTCCATAAAATGGCACAAAATGGTCAACAAGCTTACATCTCAAATATTTTCAAAATGCTATAGAACTGAAAGAACATCCCATGAAAGTCCCTTGAATCCAATTACCTCTCAATGTTGTTCTATTTTTAGCTTTGACCTAATTTATGGAAAATGTAAAAAAAAAAATACCAAAATTAATACATTTAAGTACCGAAATATGAAAAGGGAGTACAATTCAAACAAACTTTGTATTTATATTAAAGTTTTCTTCTTTTTTTTTCAGTAAACATAGTTGCTTTGAAAGTTTTGGTTTTGCATTGTATAAAGATCAGACAGAATTTAGAAAACTGGCATATTAATACCATTGTTATATGCCTCAGAAAATGCCAAATTTGATTAAGGTATAAATATACTCAAAAACGCTGGTATTTTCTCCTTTTCACAAAATTATAAAAGAAAAAGACCTAAATCAAATCTGAAAAATATATTCATCTCTGGACTCTCAAAGTTTACTGCACAATTGATTTATATTGATCTATACATTTATACGCAAGTCAAAATTGTATATCTCTTCGATATATAATTCATGTACCAACGTTATTATAAAGAAGAAAATAAAACAAATTGAAAGTAAATAATTTAATGTGAGTATTTTTCAGAGAATTTTTTTTGTTGTCAATTTAGCATGCAAATTTTCTTTCAAAGAAAATTTTGCAGTGTGCAAATGTTTTGGTTGCATTTTGATCGATGCAAATCAAAATTATATTTTCCGATATTGCCATCTTGGATGAATAGAATTCATCATATCTTCAAAGGATTCGTGCTTTAATTGTTTATATACCGAAACAATCATGGAGATGTTAAATGAAACAACTATTTTTACGGAGACAAGGTTACAATCTCTAAGTACAGCTGCTTAATAAGTGTTTCTGGTGCCGGTTTTATTGTTGTCAATGCGAACTTTGAGTCTGTATTAACATATCCATAAAAAAGAATTATCCTGATGTTCTTTAAATATTTTAGTGCTCACTTTGTCTTTTATTATACACATCTGAGTCTGAGGTAGGACTGAACCTTCTTTACACTCGACAATGTTTGTAGGCAATCGTGGAATACAAAATGTACTTTACTTCTCAAGGGATTCTTTTTAAGGAAACTTCCCAATTAAGTTAGATTTCAAACAATTCGTGTTTATTTATAAATGTTAGTTAATAATCTATTTGATATTTTTTCTAAATGTAAATTATAGTTGAGTTCTTTTAACCTCTTCATATTTATTAATTATTATTATAATATTATTTTATTATAATTATTTATTTTAACAAATATTCAGGATGGAATATTTACATCGTGCATCAAAAAAACGTTATGTTGGACTCTCTGAAGAGGTCGATATAGCTTCGCAGGAAGACCGGGACATGAGAATGGATATAATGGAAATAAAAAACTGGAATATGTATTGAAAACTGCTCTTTTGGATACCGACTATTGTACAGTGGTAGCAAAAGAGAGGGATTTCGATTGGAAAGTTCAGATAGTGACAAAGTGTTTACTGAATAATTGGCAGTGACTCAGATAATGTTCACTGTTAAGGTTTAACATGTACATACCTAGGCATTGCATTTTATTGTATTTTTCATAGATTTATTTATATTATATTACAATTATGGACTCTTTCGAAGCCGAGGTCCATATTAATATTTTTCTTGTGAATAACGAACCATATTCAACACCAAAATAGGTTCATTGTTGTTTTAATATATAGTGGGAATTTGAATAAATAAGACATTGAAGGCTGTCTGACGACACCATCTTTATTTACAATCTTCCAATAATTAAAATAAAAAAGGTCCTGATTACTGTTTGTAACTTCAGTGTTCTCCTTTCCGAGTTTCCACACGTGTAAGACGTCCGAATGTTTAAAAAAATAATCCTACAATAAGTTGCAACCATTGTTACAACTTTGTTTGAGGATTTGATTGTTACGTCACAATGATGTTGCATGCGTATTGACCCTCTGGTAAACACGGCCTAAAATAGGTGAATACGTCGTGTTAAGAAATGTACAGTGACTATAAATAGACTATATGATAATATTACATTTAGCTAAATTCAAACTTATGATGACCCTGCTTAATACGAGATATACGTTAAACAGCTTGCACATGTAGTACGTATCAATCTAGCTCCTTTGTTCGCACATACTTAATCTACATTTATTTTCAGAGAAATGTAAAAAAAATTGTAACGTTGCTTTTGTCAAACTTACGTCATATTCAAATGCACAAAACAATAACTGGAATCGTGGAAATTGTGTACCGGAATTGAAGATAAAAGCCTATGCTGAAAAATGAAATGATAACATGTGCCGTCACACACTCCTCAATTTTACAGTGTATATAAATGTTTTATTTTTTATTCAAAAATATTTCTGATCTTCGTGATTTTCTTTTCATTTTCAAAATAAATCTTAATATCGTATACTCAGTATATGATATTAATCTAATTTCTTTTTTTGTACCCTTTCGGTAAATGTTAGTGTAGTACTGATTATTCATTGGATGCTAGTGTGTAAAGAAAATATTTTTTCCTGTATTGGCAATATTAAGTGTAGTTACATTATACTCAGAAGATCCTTAGATGCCCAGCTCTTTATAAGAGGATATGTTGTAGATAATTAAATCCTGTATATATTCCTTGATCCGGCAATTGATTGTTTCCTCACAGTTGTAGATATCCGTTCACGTGAAACATCCAACACAGAAAGGTACATCACGCTTCTAATTTCATTGATACGGTATGTAATTTTTAATAATAATTTAGTATTACTTTTGCACATGAATGTTTTATATTTGTCTCATGCATGCAATATAAGATAAAATTATGTAGTTTTACTTTGAATATCACTTCAAAAAAGAAATTAGACGAGCTTTCTTTAAAATGTACAATAGTTAGGCATAGTTTACTATAGTATCTTATTTTTTCAGTATAGTATCTAAAAGACTCAAGAAAAAACAAAGTAGTTATTATACGTACTATGAAATTCAAATTGTTATTTATATTCATCAATTTATACATGACAAATTTCGAGCTATTAAGGAATTATTGTATGTACTATTATGTTTAGAGATAGATGAATATTTGAGCAATCCTCAAAACTAATATGCAAGTAGACAGCATGTATTTAGACGTTTATTGCATACTTACATGTTTGTTTGTTTAAAAAGTCAATTCTGACATTTCTAAGAACAGGTGTAGTTTGTTTGTGAAAACATATACCATGTTTTTCTCTTAATGTAGGCTCCTTGTATCAAAACAAAATGGCTGGGCCAGAAAAAGGTATGTTCTCCATTGTACATGTACAACTGCATGCTTTTCTTTTTAAAAAGAGAAACAGAGAGTATATATTGAACTTAAAAATAAAGAACACAAACAATATAAAAAAATATTGCGTGGATTGATATACAGTTGTGATTGATTTTGAATACAAATGCCTAAAACATCAAGAACTCGTACCCTTGCTTCAGTCTTTAAATATGTGACTTTGTACTATTTTCTTATATTTTATCCATACAAACTCATTTTTGAACATTACTGAACCTTACAAAATTTTCTCGTCTCTTCTGCAGAAGACTTTTTATATTATTAATCTATATTGAAATATATATATTAAAAGAAATGTTGGTCCTTTAGGTCAAATAATGAAATTGATAAAACAATTTGATTGAATAGAACGGATTTATAGAGTATTAAGATTATACACAGAAACTTTAGACAACTTTCTATCAATTTTAATCAAAATAATATAATAGGTAATAAAAAAACTCACCTGAGTCACTGTATTTTTGTCAAGAAAATGATTTTCTTTTTCGAAATTACACTCTTTTATTTCATACAT